CATACTCAGCTCATAGGTTGGCAAATGTATGCATTACAACTAAATAGAGGCCCTAAAACAAAAATGGTTTTCTATACACCAATGCTAAGCCTTAGGTGCTTCTCCAATTGAGCTCTTCCTTAAAAAATAGTTAACTTTGGGAAACGAGATATAAAGGTCTTAGTAACCAAACTAAAATGCCATGAGGCATGAATATGTAATTAAGCATGTGGATTGCTAAGTGAGTAAATAAAGTACAAGTTCAATACATAATAATATTTCTAGTTCAAATATAATCATGTATGACATTGCCTTATCACCACCTTATACCAAGCTCAATACTCTAACTTACTTGGTCAAAAGTAAGCTAATTCAAGTTATATGGGCCACCCATTGAGTCTAATAAGGGTATACCACGTAGTAATTTGACCTAACACACAACTCTCAATCTTACACTATTAGCCATGCAATTTCAAATATATTTCCATACGCACATGTTTAAAATACAATAGATCATATTTTCAAGTACACAACCTTGTCCAAATACTTTTCAATGCATTATAGTCCTATTTGGCAACTTAATCATTCAAAACACAAATTTAATTTTTAAATACACATTTTCATATCACAATTATCCATAACAAAAATCTCACACTATCAATCACAAGTCATACATCATGACAAATTAGAGAGGTTACTTTCACTCTTTGCAAGCAAAATTCCCAGGCACATGAATAGCCACTACTTAAGGTTAACAACACAACATAGACATCAATACTAATAATCATTAATACATACTAATTCTAGCTAAACAAAAAGCTTAAAGACTACACACACACTAATTATAGGGTTAGGTTAATTGCTCTAGTTAATCTTAATATCTCCCATGCACTTTAATCATCATACTTAATTTCATTAATCCTTATTACACTTTCCAATGTACAGATTTAAATTTAAAAATTTGAAATCATCATCAAAGCATCCATTTCAACCCTAGGGTTTCAAATTTAATTATCCCATAAGCATAAACAATGCCAAAACTACATAAACACCTTTTATTCATCCTTGAACAACACCTTAAATTTGGATTTAAGGGTTGGGCATCTCTAAAAATGGAACCCTAACACTAAACACTAATTAAACCCTTGAAAAGAAGATATTAGAAGATAGAATTTTAAGGAGGATTAAACAAGCTTACCTTAGTATTTTAATGACTAAAAATGTACCTTGGGATTGGAGGCTTCGAAATCTTAGTAGAGCTCCAAAAAAATTGCCCATAAACCCTCCAACACTCCCTCTCTTGTGTCTATCACAATGATAGATAGACATTTTAAAATTGTGTCACACATCGTGACAGATGCACCATGCACCGTGGCACATGATACAAAATGAGGCACCTCATTTAAGCCCATTATTTGGGCCCAAAACCTAACTTGAATCCTATTTAACTTCCATACATGACTTTAGTTCAGTTTTAATCCATGATTAAGTGTCTAAACTATCAATAAACCTCAATTATCCTCAAACATGATTTATTTACTCAATCAAATTTCAACTGATCAATGTTCATAATTTAGTTTCCTCAATTCAACCTTAACAAAAAAAGTATAAATCCTAATATTGAATCCTCAATAAAAACCCATAATTATCATACTAAATTCCTATTAAAACTATGATGTTACACCATCCACTCAACACATCTCATGGTAGCTCTTGGCTTTTATATTTAAGGATATTGAAAGTACATTTGATAAAGTGTATGTGTGTTGACGTTTCATTTACATATCACACAGAGACGGATCTCCTTAAGGATGAGTAGATTGTCTCCATTGAATTTCATGAAGATACGTGTATCAAGGTAAAGTGCCTCTTATTATTCCCCCGTTAGGCTTCTCCATTTGATCAGCTGGAAAGACCAAGCTAAATCAAAGAAGAATTCCTTATCAAAATGAAAACACAGGCAGAATCATAAAAGACATTGAAACCTAAAGGACTTAAATTATTATGCCCCTATTTGCCTCATGTCCTTGATCTGCCATTGCACTCGCGTAAATACCAACATGTAAGGTCTTATTTGGGTATCTCACATCCCACTTTCACAAAAGTGCTTTCTTACTTTTAGAAAGTGAGATGTTGTTTGAGTATTACATTTCACTCTAAATCAACTTTCTAAAAATACTTTTTGAATGTTGTTGAATGTAAATTTGGTAAAAGTTATAGAGAGAAACTTTTACAATGTACTTTTGAAATGTGATCCCTTTGACTTTTGATATGACTATGCTACCTCAAAAGTTTTAATGATTCTTCTACTTTTAATCTTTTTTTAATATTTTTGTCACAAAAAAATTTCTTTTTATTTTTTACACTTGGGATTATTTTTGTATAATTATTTTCATTTTACTATTAATATTTCAAAGTGTGGCTTCTGATAAAAAGATGAATAGAGGTTGCGATTAATTAGAGATTAGATTATACTTAATAAATTGAACAACTAAACATATTAATTTTTAATATTAATGCATGTTGAACCATTTATTATATAATTTTTTTCCAACATATCAAATTGTATATTTTTTTATTATTATTTAACATATCAAATTTTATGTTATTCAAAATTTTTATTATATTTTTTAAACATTTTTAATATATTACATTTATATAATAAAAATTATAAATTATCATAAATTAATGTTCATTTTGGTAAATGTATATTTAAAAACATATGTCACTATATATAATCCAAACAACTTTTAGTTTACTAAAATTATTTTTTAAAAAATATATCCAAACACAAATTTTATTACAAGAACTGACTTTTAGTAAATTAATTTTTGCCAAATGAATTTTCAATAAATAAACTTTTAATAATCTGAAAACCAAATACACACACATGTAGTTGCTCAAATTTTCTTCCATATAATAAAAAGAAGAACAAAGCAAGTTTTTGCTTGTCTACTTTTTAATTTAATACACTATATTTAATCTTAAATTCTTAGTTACTAAGGTAAATTTTAAGATACCTATGCCATAGATATCTAAAGGCACTCAACCCAATACATCTAGTTTTGCCCTTGTAGTAGCCAATTCACTGATGTATCAACATCACAATATCTATTCGCAAAATATTATGGGCCCCTTTGGTTATTTGAATGGGATGAATTGAAAATATCAATATAAAAATGAGCTAAATTATCTTTTCTTTTCATAATAAGAATGATAAAACTTATTAATATATACTACAAATGTGAGAATCATTATACTTTTCAAAAATTTCATTAATCATGATTCCTAAATCTATAAATTAAATTAACCCCTCCTTTATAAATGTGATTCATCACCATCTCTTTTGATAATTTCATTTTTACTTTTATTTTTTTAATTCATTTTATTTTAATTTTTTTAGCAATCAAATAAGACCTATATTATCATTAACTAATTCCAAACAAAGAATTTGAATTGCTGTGAATGGATCAACCTCATGTTGGTGACCAATTCGATAGGTTTAAAGGGACCTTATGCTTTTTGCAAAACAATTACAGCATGTGCCCTTATGTTTGAGAGTCTATTTTCAACATCTAAAACTTAATTACTAGATTTAGGAAATGTCCATTTTAGGACGCCCAAACAAGCTTGCAAACTTTGATTGATTATTCCCAATAGAAGGGATCATTTTCTTTAGTTAAAAATCACTTTCCTTCTTTTTAATCCTTCATGCTTTTTTTTTTATTCACTTATTTCCAAAAACAAAATAAGACGCCCAATGTTAGAGGAAAAATATTGCCACATCTGCCCTTTTTTTTGGTTAATTCTTCTAATAGGCTCTAATATCAAGATTGTTTTTGAACAAAATAGGTTTTACTCCCTTGTTCAAAAATATTAAGACATTTTTTATGAGATAAAATATTTAAAAATGCAAGGCAGTTTGATTATTTCAAGATACAATTAATTATTTTTTTAAAAATACCATTAATTAAGGAGTGCATTAATAAATTTTTTTAATTAAAACTTTATATTAAATAAAAATAAATATAAAAAGAGCATATAATTTTAAAGATCATTAACTATTAACTAATTAACTAATTTATTAAAATGTATAATATGATTAAAAATATCTTATCATAAACACCGGGCAAACGAGTTACGGGTCAGCCCACGGGTTGGGCTAGCCCGTCAGATATTATGGGTTCGAAAACCCAATCTAACTTATTTTCTAGCGGGCTATTTAACTCGCGAGCTGGCCCGTAAAAATTTATTAATTTTTTTGAGAATTTAAAATTTATATATATATATATTTTACATTTCAAAACAAATTAGCAATTAAATAACTTGTAAATAAATAAAATAAACATAGAATTCAACCAAACAAATTCATTTTACAAAATTTTTACTATTAATCATCTTTTCGCTTAGGTGTGTTATCTTTCTCATTGAAAAAAACATTAAATATAAAACTATATTATTTTTCTCAATCAATCGTATTTATGATTTCAAGCAATAAATTTTATGAGATTAACGAATAATATATATTTAAAATATTTCTATAAAAACTAATAAATCATCGATTTATAAACTATAACAAGAATTGTATTGCAAATTGTAAAAAAGATTTAAAAAAAATATATTTGAGAGTTATAAATTATGTATTTAAAAAATATTTTTTATTGTAAATTTATAAAAGATATAATGTGATTAAAAAATAAAAAATTATTTTTTAAAAAATATATTAGCCCACAGGTCAATGTGTTTTAACTCATTAGTTTTACAGTTTGAAATATCTCAGTATATTTTAAAAAATAAATTAATTTATTTAATTTAATTTATTAAATTTTATAAATTAAATAAGTTAGCCTGCTTAACATGTTTTCCCACCTCTACATGATACGGATGCTAAAGGGGTGCATTTTTTGGGCATGTTAACGGATTGCTGACAGCATTTTAAGATGAACGGTACGGATTAGCTTGCATATTGGTGTGGCAAATTGCCACGTGGCGAGATGGATATCGAAGGATCTCTCGGACGGCTGGGTTCCAACACCAACACACGCCTGCTTCTTTTTCCCCGGAGCAGAGAATCGCGACGCGTTACCGACTTTCATTCTTTCTTCACGGCAAAGAATCGTTGATCGTCGTCGGCGTAGTCGTTGATACTTCGAGGTCGTATTCGATTTCATATCGCAATTTCCAACTACTGTTTGGCTTCTACTTGATTGTTTGCCGTTTAGGCTCGTTGATTTTATCGATTTCGCTAGGATTTCTGGGTCCCGAAATGCTAATTTATCGTCCGATTTTGTATCCACCTAGGGTTACTTACTGCAGTTTTTGTTAATTGAGTTTATATGAAAGTAAAATAACCACTCAATTACAGATCACAAGAGCTTTGAGATCTTCTTAGCGCACATTCATTGGCGCTTGTTGTTTTAATAGCTAGTGAAGCTCATAATGGTTTCTTGTCTTAGCATTCCCTTTTTGATCGTGTAACTTCTAATCAACTATGTTTCTTCCAATGGCGAAGTACTCTGCTGAAACCTAGTTGATTTGAAGTTTCTTCCGGCAAGGTATTGAATGTAAGAAACCATTGTGAATGATGTTCAATGGATAATGTCAAATGACTATATTTACTTTTGTCGAAGTTCACATAGGATACCTGGCTATTTGGTGTTGTACACTGATAAGAGGGCTTTGCTGCAGCTGAATTCGTAGCTGATTGTGGAATGTTGGATCACTTTTGAGTTATGAAATATTTGGTTCATAAAGCAAGTGTGAAGAATAAGGAAGATGAAACTACAGGCGCCAATTCCAGGACAAATGTCAGGCCAGGTACCTAATCAATCAGGGTCCCAGCTGCCTGGACTGACCCAGCCGAATCGAAATGCCATCCCTCAGATGCCAACTTTAGGCGGTGTTCCCCGATCAACCACTAATATGGACTCTGAATTTCTAAGAGCACGCGTGTTTATTCAAGAGAAGATGTAAGGCAATTTTTCTTTCTTTTGCTTAACTCAAAATTTGGTGTATTGTTTATATGTATTCAATCAGCTGGTGACTTGATTCTATTGACTCTTGTGAGGAAGTTTTATCAATGGGGGTGAATGTAAGCCTTTTTGGTCATTGTAAAGAATACAATAACAGCATCAACAAGCCTTATCCCACCAGGTGGGTCGGCTTGTTGTTGTAAAGAATAACTGAACAATTTTTTTTTTTTTGTCGGTCATGGAAGCCAGTGAATGCTATAGATGATTTCATAATGGACTGTTGAAATTTATCCAACAGAAAAATATGGGAAAAGGGACGTAATTATTTGGGGAATTGAACAATGTTACATATTCTTTTGCTAGAACTTATTTCCCCCAACTGCATTCTCCATATGGATGAGAAGACTTGTGAATTTCCAAATTTATTAAATTATATGGAAATCGACTAAAACTTTATAGATGAAAACGATGATGATTTTAAATTTGACTACAAAAACTTTGCATAAACTAGGGTACTCATTCAAAGTTGTTTATGAGGTTTTCTTGCCTCCTCTTTTCCTGAGGTGGGATGCAAATTTTTTGTCATCCCCATTCCTCAGTGAGATAGACTGATTTGCATGGGTCCCCAAATCTATAAAATAAACTGTTACAGTAATTAAGTAAAACTTTTAAAAAATGCTGATAAAGTCAAATATTTTCCTGAAATAGTCTAACCCCACTCTTTGCCCCACAATTCCTCATGTTGCTCAATCCATGCTCTGAAGTACATGGTCCAATTTTTAACTGTGTGTGTCTATATATGTATATATATATTGTTGAACATCCTATAACCTGTTGCTCTTTACCTTCTAGCTATGATATGTTATTGCAGCGGCAACAGCCGCCAGTAGTGGAACTGCAGAGAAGAAAGTTCAAGGATCTTGCTAAACGCCTGGAGGAAGCCATGTTAAAAGCTGCAACATCTAAGGTTTCTGTTTTAGCCTCTGTTTATTTTCCTATGCACTATATTAAGGTTTCTCTGACTAATTTAGAGGATATCTGATCCTCCCATATAATCATACTTTTCCTGCTTCTCCTAAATAATTCTATTTCATTCAGCATCTTCATGTTTCTTTATTAAGTTCTTGTTAGTTCTAGTGGGTGATAATCTTCAGACCTATCTTTTCAGGAGGAGTACTTGAACTTGGGTACACTAGAGAGCCGTCTGCTTAATTACTGCAGACCGCCATCTGTGAATAATAACCAACAATATACCCAGCATACTAGCTCTTCTTCAGTAGGTACAATGATACCAACACCTGGTATGGCACATGTGAATTCAAACATGGCAGTTACATCTTCTGTAGATGCCTCAATCATTGTTGCCCCTGGATGTAATAGCATGGCATCTCCATCTGTGAATAGTGCAAGCATGTTTCCTACAGGGGGTTTGCATGGGAATTCCTTAACTAGATCTGATGGTAATTATAAGTGTTAAAATTCTTCACCTAGACTTTTGCTTCACATTTTTTAAAAAATGTTTTTTCATCATAAATTATACTTATTGCAGGTTTGTGTAATGGCTATCAGCCATCATCAACCAGCTTTTCAATTGGTTCTGGGGGAACCATGTCATCAATGGGTGTGCAGAGAATCACAAGCCAGATGATTCCCACTCCTGGTTTTAATGGCAGCAATAACTCATACATGAATATGGAATCTTCTGATAATAGTGGTGTCTTTTCCAGTGTTGAATCCTCAACAATGTCACAACCTCTGCAGCAGAAACAGAATTTTGGGGGCCAAAACAATAATGTGATGCAGAACCTTGGCAACCAAATGGATAGTGGAATGAGATCTGGTTTACAGCAAAAATCTATTGCATACTCAAATGGAGCCATGGGTAGCAGGTTAGGTTTGATTGGAAACAATAGGCAACTTACAAATGAATCTGGCTTTGGTGATGCCTATGCCACAACTTGTGTGAATTCCCCTAAACACTTACAGCAGCACTTTGATCAAAATCAGCAACCGCCAGTGCATGGTAATTTTTCTTGCTCTTTTCTGTTAGTTCTCCTGGCACTGGACCTATGTCCTTTTCTCTAACTCCACCCTCCTTTTTAGTAGTATAATTTCTTTGGCTATTGTTTGTTGTTGGTTTTTGTGTGTGTCTGTGTGTATGTGCCTTATCCCTTGGACATTCAGGGGGGCATAGATATATATTTTTCACCATATAATCGGCATCTTACAGAAAAGATGAAAATTCTATTGCCAGGTGATGGATATGGATTAAATAATGTTGACTCATATGCATCTGGAAACTTTTATACATCTGCAACATCTTCTGGATCTATGATGAGCAGTCAGAACTTGAACTCAGTAAAATTGCCTGCAATATCCCAAACCAACTCTCTCATAAGTAGTCATTCGAATTTACATGGTATGCAGCAGGATGCTCATCTAAAGTCTCAATCTATGAATCGGTTGGAGAAGTTGAATTTTCAATCTTCTTTCACTTCAAAAGATGGCCTTCTGGATCCTCAACGGCAATATCTGCAACATTCCCAACAATTTCAACAGCCAGAGCAGTATGCCCAGAAGCAATTTCAATTTAAGCTGCAAAGTCAGCAGCCCCAGCATATGGTCAAAAGTGATGCCTTCAGTCAGTCTCATATCCCTTCCAATTTAGAAGTCCAAGTGAAGTCTGAGCCTGTAATTGATCACCACAAAGAAGTCTTTAGTTCACAGGTTTCTGAACAGTTTAATATTTCTGAGATGCAAAACAAGATGCAACAGAACTCTAATGATAGTTGTTTGGGGGATGCCCAACATCTTTCTTTTCCAAATAGTCAGAGTGATTTATCTGCAGCAACAGCTCAAAACTCACATCAAATGTTGCACCCGCATCAAATGGTTTCAGAGTCCGAAAATAATTTTAGTTGTCTTTCAGTTGGGACACAATCTAAATCAGCACTTCTAAATCAATGGAATTCTCAATCGCAAGGTGGTAACCACATACCAGGGAATATGTTGCATGAGCAACATCTCCACATGGATTTCCATCAGAGAATATCAAGGCAAGATGAAGCTCAGTGCAATAATTTATCATCAGATGGAAATGTTATTGGTCAAGCTGTTGCTTCTAGAGGCACTAAACCCCTTGACTCAAGTGTTAGTATTAAGAAAGCACATAGGAATCAACAGAGGTGGCTTTTATTTCTACTTCATGCTCGACGGTGTCCTGCCCCAGAAGGACGATGCCAAGAACGTTATTGTTATAGTGCTCAGAAGTTATGCAGACACATTGATGGATGCAACCTGCCTCATTGCTCATATCCCCGCTGTCATCATACCAGGCTATTGCTAATTCATTTTAGAAACTGCAAAGATCCATGTTGCCCAGTTTGTGTTTTTGTTCGAAATTACAGGCGCTCTTTTCAAGTTAAGTCCCAGACTCGGCCAGATTCTGATTCAGGAGTGCCAGTTGCAGCAAATGGATCTTGTAAATCATACAATTCTGTGGTTCCATCACCTAGATTGATCCAAAAACCTCTACCCGTTATTGAAACTTCAGATGACCTGCAGCCATCTTTAAAACGTATGAAAATTGAGCAGTGTACCCAGTCCTTTAGTTTGGAGAATGAAAACTCTACTGTGTCAGTTTTGGCAAACTGTGAATCTAATGTTTCCAAGGATGCCCCGTGCCAAGACTATATCCATGGTGATATGTCAATGTCAATTAAGTCTGAGCTCACAGAAGTTAAGGCTGAAGGTCCAGTGCATTCAACACCTGCAAATCCTTGTGAAATGAAAATAAATGATGTGGAGGACAGATGGCCTGGTGGTGAACCTGTCACATATGATGAACCTGTCACTTTATCTAGGCCAGAAAATATCAAAACTGAGAAAGAAACTGGACAAGATCAGCCAGAAAACCTTAACCAGCCATCAGAAAATTTTGGAGGGACGAAGTCTGGTAACCTAAAATAAAGGGGGTCTCGTTGATTGAACTATTCACTCCAGAACAAGTCAGGGAACACATCACTGGCCTAAGACAATGGGTTGGCCAAGTAAGCCTTTTTTGTGACCTTGCGCTTGTTTATTTTACAACTTTACAGCCATTAGTTTGATTATTGAAAGCATCTTAGCGGAAATCAGTTCCATTATAATCTAAAAGTTGAACTATATTCAGCTTATATATTTTATTGTAAAGTCTGTGTATCTATGTTTTGCTAAGTTAGAGTGTTGTTCTATGTTTCATGTGATTATTGATATGAGTAGATTTGGGATGGTTTTAATGATAAATAATCACCATCACTCAACTCTATGTTGATTTCATGTCAATGTCACATAATATGAGCAAATAACATTCTGATCACATGAGGAGTTATTATTTTAGTTCCTTTGTTTCTGCTAATATTGCGTTGATCTTTCCTGTTAATTAGATTTTGGAATCTGATTTTGAATTGTTGTAATTGTGTGTTGATAAGTGTGTTTCATCAGTGAAGTTTTGTGTTTGAATTTCACATCTCTTTCTTTAAGAACACCAGAAGAAGGTGATGCAACTAATCAATGATAAGTTGAAATTGCACTCTCTAGCATGACATAACAGTGAAAATACTGTTATGTTCTATAATAGATTTGATTTTGTGTTGCAACATCAGACATTTTGAAGTAAAAAAAATTATCATATGAAAACCCATCATGCTTGATCACAATAATCACATTCTGCTGAATAGGTTGACTGTTGCTTAAATCGTCATGTTTGTGATCTACTTTTTTCTTTTTGGATAAAATAACTTTATTAGAAAAAAGAGAGAGACACCAATGGAATTTCCATGCTGCTTCTGTAGGCTTAATAAACTAAATTCATGGAGCTTCATGAATACTGTTCCCTTCTGCTCCTTCTCCTGGTATTTTGTTTGAGGTGGATATTTTGAATTTTTTATTACAAAATGCTGGAAATGGTAATACAACTGTTATATATGGCTTCTTAATGTTCGATAAATGTGTTGAGTCCAAAATCCAAATATACTGTCTTTATAATGCTATGCTCTTGTATCTCCATGCTTGTTTAGCAGTGCTGGGTTTTTCCTTTATATTCCTCTGTCAACTGATTTGCACTTCTTACCATGATGCTTCTGTTATTATCTCATGACAGAGCAAAGCGAAGGCTGAAAAGAATCAAGCAATGGAGCATTCAATGAGTGAGAACTCCTGTCAGTTGTGTGCTGTAGAGAAGCTTACATTTGAACCACCACCTATTTATTGCTCAACTTGTGGTGCTCGCATTAAACGGAACGCTATGTATTATACCATGGGTACTGGCGATACACGGCATTATTTTTGTATTCCATGCTATAACGAGGCACGTGGAGACAGCATTTTTGTCGATGGAACTGCCATTCCTAAGGCGAGGCTGGAGAAAAAGAAAAATGATGAAGAAACTGAGGAATGGGTGGGTACCATGATGGAATTTTTTTTCCTTTTATTTGCAGCTTTTTGCCAGCCCCATCTAGTGGGATAATGCTTCATCTTGTTGCTGTATTGGAAGCTTTTACATGTTTTGTTGATTTTTTCCTTTTTTTATGTCCTTGTGGCAGTGGGTTCAATGTGATAAATGTGAAGCTTGGCAACACCAAATTTGTGCACTATTTAATGGTCGAAGAAATGATGGGGGACAAGCTGAGTACACTTGCCCTAATTGCTATATTCAAGAGGTAGAAAGAGGAGAGCGCAAACCATTACCCCAAAGTGCTGTTCTTGGGGCTAAGGATTTGCCTAAAACTATTCTCAGTGAGCAAATACAGCAACGGTTGTCTAGGAGACTAGAACAAGAGAGACAAGAGAGGGCAAGGCTTCAAGGAAAAAGTCGCGATGAGGTGATTCATCAATTCTTTCCTACTTGCTTTAATATTTTAGATTATTCTTTAAATTTCTTGAAATACTCCCTTCAATCCTATTTATAAAGAACTTGGAGGAGGGGCTATGTGGTCCTTTTTATAAGGTACTACATTGATTATTTATTACAATTTTTCCCTTTTACCCTATTTAATGTTGATGTAGGAAACTAGAAAACCTTTCTAAGGGTGTATTTGGTATTGGCAAAGCAAGAAACTTTTTTATACAGAGTTGATGAGTTTAAAATTTTCCTTTGTTTTGGTGAAAGATACTGGAAATGACGTATAAATGAGACTGGAGGGAGTACCATCTAATGTTTGACAATCTAATTGCTCTTTCTGAAGAACTCATACAATAAATAATATAGTGAATTTTCTGGACTTGAATATTATTTTAAAAACTTTGTTGACCTGAAGTTTCGATTTTACATGTTTGTACTGTCATTATTTGCAAACAAGTCTTAAATATATGGGATGTTACATGTTTTGTGCTGGTGTTGTATAAACCTGTTTCAATTGCTGTACCAGGTGCCTGGGGCTGAAGAACTTGTTGTAAGAGTGGTGTCATCTGTTGACAAGAAGTTAGAAGTGAAACAACGATTTTTGGAAATTTTCCGGGAAGAAAATTATCCGACAGAATTCCCCTATAAATCAAAGGTAGTGAGAAGGCTGCTTTGATTCTCTGGTGGTTAATGAATCATTAGTATTGGTTGTGGTTATTGATGCACTTTCATTTCTGCTCCAGGTAGTTTTGTTGTTTCAAAAGATTGAAGGCGTGGAAGTATGCCTTTTTGGCATGTATGTTCAAGAATTTGGATCTGAATGCCAGTTCCCTAATCAGCGTCGGGTTTATCTTTCATACCTTGATTCTGTGAAGTATTTTAGGCCTGAAGTTAAAGCAGTGACTGGAGAGGCTCTTCGGACGTTTGTTTATCATGAAATCTTGGTATGGTTGCTGCTCTTATGTGACTTTAAAAGGCATGGTGGCCCTTTTTTTTTTTTAAATTATGAATACATTCAATTTTTAAGTCAAGATAACTTCCTGATTGTTCAGTTTTTTATTATGAGTGATTTCCATTATAATTTGGTTTGCAGATTGGATACCTTGAATATTGTAAGAAACGTGGTTTTACTAGCTGCTATATTTGGGCCTGTCCTCCATTGAAGGGTGAAGATTATATTTTATATTGTCATCCGGAAATTCAGAAAACTCCAAAATCTGATAAGCTCCGAGAATGGTGAGCTTCAGCTTTAAAAGAGAGAAATTGTCTAAATTTTGTGACTTGTATAGTGTTTTTTTCCCCCCTTCATCTTCAACTTCAATTCTTGTGGACTTGTTTCCTCAGGTACTTATCAATGTTAAGAAAAGCTTCGAAGGAGAATATTGTGGTCGATCTTACCAACTTGTACGACCATTTCTTTGTATCTACTGGTGAATGTAGAGCTAAGGTTACTGCTGCAAGACTTCCTTATTTTGATGGTGACTATTGGCCTGGGGCTGCTGAGGATTTGATTTATCAGCTTAACCAAGAAGAAGATGGCAGAAAACTGAATAAGAAAGGAACAACCAAAAAAACCATAACAAAAAGGGCTTTAAAGGCATCTGGTCAGTCAGATCTCTCTGGAAATGCATCAAAAGATCTGCTCCTAATGCATAAAGTAATTCCCTGCTTTAGTTCTTTATCATAGATTGTCCTTATGGGTGAAAGAAATGGCATTCAAATTATGTTTCCAGCAGATGGTTAAATGATTTATAGTTTCTCATTGTTGATCTGCATTTAAAATTTTATTAGTTGTGTTTCTTAGTGTGAAGATAATTTTTTCTTACAAATCTTTTGATGTTTCTCCAGCTTGGCGAAACCATTAGCCCCATGAAGGAAGATTTTATCATGGTTCATTTGCAGCATGCATGCAGTCATTGTTGTATTTTAATGGTATCAGGCAACCGTTGGGTTTGCAACCAGTGCAAGAATTTTCAGATATGTGATAAGTAAGGATAGTTAAGCCTTGTTACATATATATTTTTTTCGTGTACTGTGTCAAACTAACATGGTTTAAAATATGTTAGCACTTTAGCACACTGTCAGAATTGTATCATCTTATTTGAGGTAGGATCCATGGAAGTTTGGTTTTATTAAGATGAAAATTTGGGTTCCTAGGGTAAATAAATGGTAGATAATGTCTGCCAAATTGAATGAAGAGTAAGCTAGACTTATTGAGTTCTTCTTGTTTTTTTTTTTCCTTTTCTTTTTTTTAATGTCTGTCAAAGTAATCTGATTGGGGTGGCTGCCAGAATTAAAGAAAACATGGTAGATGATTGGAAGTAGAAAAGGAATTCAGGCATCGCACATCAACACGAGTATGCTGTCATTGTTGATAAATCTGGTTGATGATCGCCTTCAAAAAAAGAAAGTATCACAACCATTTTAATAGATCTCCTATAACTTATGTGACAATAATTATGAAGAGTCCTAATCTCATAGAGACTACTATTAACCACATAAGGGAAACCTGGACATTAGAAGAAAACCTAATGACATCTAAATAACATGACCAGGGAGCCATCTAAGGCAAAGAAACACTGATATCACCATAGTCCTCTTGTGTATAATTAATGAAGGGAGTGTATCCTAAAACTACAAAGAAACAATTTGCTTTAGTGAGTTTTTGGCCTTCAACAATCAGCATTTATTGATTCTATTGATGGTACTGGACACACTTTCTGTGGTCCAGTGTTATGTTTGTACAGCTCACAGCTGGATTTACACTTATGACATATTTCATTTTCAATTGTTATATAGCTCTTTTTTCTAATACAGATCATGGGCATGTATAGAACGGAAACTGCGGTCATTTAATTTTTGCATTGTCAAGAGGCTATTTCTTTATGCTCTAATAATCTGCTGAGTTCTTGGTGATCAATGGGCACGTCCATTCACCATATTTATTGATCTGATTTTTATTATGTGGTTTTCTAGGTGTTATGAAGTTGAACTAAAGCGTGAAGAAAGAGAAAGGCATCCTATTAATCATAGGGAGAAACATGCCCTTTACCGAGTAAGTATGCCATCCCATGCATGGTTGGTGTGTAAAAGGAATTGTTCTTTCCGAATTCAGATTTGTGATACTATGGTACCATGTGAGATCTCTTGGTTGTCTGCTGCCCTCGTGTCTGCTTAATGGTAGTTTGCTGAATTTAAGGTATTTAATGAATTAGAGTTGTAAAACTGAGCTAATAATTTGTGCTATAGTTACTGTGTAGGAAAAATGAATTTGGATTTTCCATTTTCTTTTATGAACTGTTTTTCTTCTTGTTCTTAATGTCAATGTTGATGTAAATTATTGTTATTATTTGCAGATTGAAATTTCTGATGTACCAGCTGATACAAAGGACAAAGATGAGATTCTTGAAAGTGAATTCTTTGACACTAGACAGGCATTTCTGAGTCTGTGTCAGGGAAACCACTATCAATATGATACTCTGAGACGGGCCAAGCATTCATCAATGATGGTTCTCTATCATCTTCATAATCCAACTGCTCCTGCTTTTGTGACAACTTGTAATATATGCCATCTTGACATTGAAACTGGTCAAGGTTGGCGATGTGAAGTTTGCCCTGATTATGATGTGTGCAATGCGTGTTATCAAAAGGATGGAGGCGTTGATCATCCTCATAGGTTGACAAATCATCCATCTGTGGCTGATCGTGATGCTCAGAACAAAGAAGCAAGGCAACTTCGAGTGTTGCAGGTATCCGTTATATTTCAGATTTTGTTCTTGGTGATTGTCTGATTTAAGGTGTGCTTATTGCCTACGTCTCACCATGTTATTTCACATGTCGAATAAAGTTTTTTGTCAATTTGTATGAGGTAAAGCATTAAATCAAGTAATGGCGGTTTTGAAATTGAGATCTTGATTTTCAAAAGTTTCAATGACTATCAGTGACACGTTCACCTTAATATATTACTAATTTCATAAGAAACTACTTGCAGATTTTTCAGGTGCATGTTGTTGCGTTTTTGTGTTGTTATTACGTTGGATTGATTGAAAAATGAGACTGTGTGTGGGTGCATGTATCCATCCATCCAAACACAGATGTAACCTTAAACTAAAGTTATGTATATAGCCTTAAATTAATATGCCTCTTGCTTCTGCTTTCTATGTGCATTTCGTGAAATTCTTTGATCATGCCTTCAAAATTTCGCTTCCCCTTGCTTGCCATCCCATTTATGTATACCATGCTCTGCGATAATCTTGCACTTGCACCTTTCTTTAAGTGCCTGATAGTAGTTGGGGTCTGTAATTACAGTTGCGGAAAATGCTTGATCTTCTCGTGCATGCATCCCAATGTCGTTCTGCACATTGCCAGTATCCAAATTGTCGCAAAGTGAAGGGGCTCTTCCGCCATGGGATGCAATGTAAAACACGTGCCTCCGGAGGCTGTGTTCTTTGCAAGAAAATGTGGTATCTGCTGCAACTCCATGCTCGTGCTTGCAAAGAGTCTGAGTGCCACGTACCACGTTGCAGGTTTGTGGGTCAAGCATTGATTGCCATTTCTGAGTTATTCTTGTGACTTGTCTTGTGTGACATTCTTTCATTTTTGGGTTACTTCAGAGATCTGAAGGAACATTTAAGGAGGTTACAGCAACAATCGGACTCTCGACGAAGAGCAGCCGTGATGGAAATGATGAGACAGAGAGCTGCTGAAGTTGCCAGCAATGCAGGATAAGCTGTTTGCCCATGAAAATTTGGATGTTTCAAAGGAAATGATGCTGCTGGCAACGGTGCTCCTAACAGCAGCCGAGGGTGGTTTATGTGATTGGAAGGGATCAGATATGACAAGAGCGTTCTGGATTCGCTTATCTTCCTTCTGTCAGTGCCCTTCTTATTGTAGCTTGGCCTCTCCACAACATGATTGTCCTGAAGAGGATCATTTTAGTACGGCCACCCTCTTCTGGAATTACTAACCAGCTCTAGCGGGTAATTATGTCGGTATCTCAGCTATGTGTTGCCGATCTAGTGATTCTTTAATTTGGTCAGGTCCTTGTATTATGAGAAGTGCCATCCCGCGGTGGCCAATGTACTATAGCCCTAATTTGTCGAAAATGTCTTAAAAAGGAATGCGAGGGAGGTTTGTATTTAATTTGTTTTTGGCCTTTTGAACATTGACCCTCTTTTGTAGAATGTCATTAAAGGTGAATAATTAGAGTATTCGTAGATGCAGTAATTCATATTCAATTATTGATTAAACGTGGGATATATGTGTGTATGTATATGGTTATCTGTCCGCACATGTGGGTTGAAAAGAGGGAGGGAAGAATCATGATCAAGCCGTTGGTAAGGCAGGCTGATGATTACAACTCAAAATCATGAAATAGTGAAATTAAATTTAAAGTTTATAGTTCTTTCGTGCAATTAACAAAAAAGAAATTAGCGTTTAACTCACTCCTCTGAGCGATGTGAGTAAACTTTTTTCAATTTTTTTTTAAATATAAGGCCATGGAAAGCGGTGCAAAAGAGATAAAAGTCAAGTCATGTCTTCCAAGTCACTTTGAATTATTTCCCAACAAGTATTGAGAAATTTCTGATAACATTCTAATGTCCTTAATAAAAATTGGTAAACATGGACTAAATGGCAAATCTAGAAATTAAATATTTTTCAAGTCAATTAGAGCTATTTCCGAAAACCAAGTATTAAAAAAAAAAAAATCCCAACCTAATTTGTGTTCATTGTGATATTGACATAAGGATTATTTAAGTTCAAAGCAATTGACCGTGGTCTTTGGATTGAATTTCACCCTTGTAATTTTGAACTATGATGATCAAACTTGCTAAGCCCAAAGATAGGCTAAAATGTATACAAATCCCCTAAATTTTATGTAAGTTGTACATAAACTCCTTGATACTTTGATTTTTGAAGTTAAATATTAATCCCCTTGAACTTTTTATGTTTAGACTAAAAAGACCTTGCAATTAGTTTTATGTCATCTCATCAATAGAAATTGTCACACATGATTAAAAAAAAAATACACTTATCTTTGTGGAATAAAGTTTTGCCATGTCATCTAATTTTAATATCCCTAGTCAGACACGACCTTCTTTATCTTTCAATTGATCTCTAGAACTTGTGATCATCCCAAGTTGTCATTTGCATTTTCATTGCTTTTCTTCTACTATTTACCATTCTTCCTCTATCATTTGCTTTGGGTGTAGGAGTGAAAGTAGGCCAAGCCCTTATTAGGAGTTCTGGTCAGGATTATTTACTAGATATCCTAGGTTAGTTTTAGGCCTCCTAAATTGGCCAAGTTTATTTTTGCAAGGTTTAGATTACAAGCTTTATAGGTTAGCCTATTCACATGTATATTATTTCCTCCATTTCAAATTATATAACATTTTTGAACAAAATTGCACATATTAATAAACCTTATTAAATACACTTAATAACATTGCTTTTTCCAAACAAAAATATACTCCCTCTAATCCTATCTGTAAAGCATAGAGAAAAAGATTTTTTTTTCATCTTATTTATAAGTCACCTTATTGAATTTTTATTGTAAATTTTGCTATTTGACCTCCATTGAATGTTGAAGAGAGAAAATGTGTTGTTAAAATATGTACATTTGATAAAAATGAAGTTGAGAAATTATTAAATTTTTAGATAGAGTTAATGAATTTTATAGTTTTCTTTAATTATGGTGAAACATGTTGAAAGTGCTTTATAAATGAAATCAGAGTAATAAACTTTTAAAAATACCTTTAATTTAATATAATTTACACTTAATTATTACACTTCGGTTCTTTTCCTTGGCTTTAAGCCTAGTAAAGCTGTAACATCATTAGTAGAAAAAGACGGGAATGAAAAGTTTATTTTTTAAAAAATTCACATCCAAAATCGTGGCTTTTTCTATTTAAAAATGATTGTAATTGAGGCCTATCAATAATGTGTCACACCATACTGTAAGCTTTTAAGTTACGTCTGCAACTTGTGTATTCAAAGAAGCACCACGCCATCGAGGTTTGCCCCAACTTCTCTATACTTTGACTTGTGTTTTCAAGCTTAGCTTCTATGCAAATCAGTTTCGATTTTGATTTGAGGAGTAACACTTCCCCACCTTTTTTATAGGCTTTGAAAGCTTCAAATTCATTCATTAAACTTTTGGGAGGCAGAAGCTTCAAAAGGAAGACATCAAATGCCTTTGGGATTAGACTTAAACATTCCTTTTACAGGAAATGAACATGAAACGAATGACGTGCCATATCGTAACATCAGTTTCGATTCTAATATGAACGATGCCGATAAATTAGAGATGCATCTCAGTTCGGCAAATGATACAGATATCATTTGTATGCATATATTTCTTCATTTTCAAAATTTTTATTCCGTCTAAACTTCACTAGTATTTCGTCTAATTTTTTATTCAAGTAGTGGATATACACTTTGGAGAAAGGACAATGGACATCCCTTTTCACATCACAGGGGAGAGAGAGGGCTGCATGGCACAAAAATTAGAAGGAAGAATGACAAAAAAGTTTTAAAAAGATCAATTGATTCAAATTAAATTTTAAGTGCTAAACTTTAAAAATTTGTAACTCAGTTTCTCAATTTTACAACTGTGATGTGATGAATTCGTAAGTTAATTTTTAAATTTTATCATGAATGAAGAATAAAAAAATTTATTTTTCCTGTTAGAATTTGAAATATAAGTTGCAAATTCATTACAAAGAAATTACAACATTGAAAGACTGAGTTGTAAATTTTTGAAATTTGATACTTGAAACTTAATTTAAATTAATTAATCTTTTTAGAACTTCTCTGGCATTCTTTCAAATTTGAACCTACATACCTTCCCTTTTTCATGGGCTAATTAAAAAAAATTTCCTTTTCATTGAAGTAAGTCCAACTTCAGTTGTTTCACATGTGCAGAAGTTAACATTGAAGCAGAAGATGACATGGAAGAAGAAATAGGCAATAGAAGTGAAGCATCAAATCATGAAACATCAACAACAACAACAACAACAAGACTTTATCCCACTAGGTGGGGTCAAATCATGAAACATCAATCAACGCAATTTTCTAAGCAATGAACAATGCACATCAGTATCTCATTTATTGCAACAATCAAGTTTGGATGGAAGACTTAAAAAAGGTACCAAGAACATGGTGGCTTCAATATACTCAATTTCTACAAGTGTCATTAACTGCATTTGGTGGAAAACAAAGGAGACAGGAGATGCATCTCATAGAAAGGTTAAAAACTGTGGGCGCAAGAGAGTTGGGATTAACAAAGGTCGATTTCGTGAGATTCCTTTATCAAGGTGGTCCATTTATTGATCTTTATATCATGCAATCAACATGAGCAGGGGAACATTGTTCAGAAGTCTTGAAGATGGAGATATAAGGCGCCACACAAGTATTCTCAAGCCACATTTGAAAGAAGAAGATAAAATAACTCGATTGAAGTTTTGGTTGTCAATGCGAAGGGGGAACCATACCACATGATGCAACTTTCAAGACTATGTATAATATAGTTCATATAGCTGAGAAGTGGTTTTATTTGACAAAACCTAGTAGGAACTTCTTTCTACTACAAGATGAGAAGGATCCAAATCGCATGACATGCAAGAACAATAATTTTATTGAAAAGGTAATGTTTTTAGTTGCTTTGGCACATCCTAGATTTGATGAAGAGGGGAATGAAATTTTTTCAAGAAAAAATGTATTTCATATGGTTACTAAGGAGCCAGCAAAAAGAAATAGTGTCAATAGACTTGTAGGAACATTAGTTACAAAACATATAACTTGAATTACCGAAGAATTTAGTAGGCAATTTCTTATTGAGAAAGTTCTTCTTGCTATCAAAGCAAGGTGGCCCGAGATGAGATAGCAAATCCAATTTTCATTTAACAAGATGATGCAAAAAGTCACATTAATAGGAATGATGTTGAATGTTGCCGTGTGGCAAAGGAAGATGGGTTTGATATTCATTTAGTGTGTCAACCACCAAATTCTCTAGATTTTAATGGGTTGGACCTTGGGTTTTTCATAGCCATTCAGTCATTGCAAGAAAAGGAATGTTCTAAGACTGCATATGAGTTTATTGGTCATGTAATAACAGCAAATGAAGAATTTCCCTCCACTACATCTAACAAGATTTTCATGACATTACAAGCATGCATGAGAGATGCCTTGAAGGTAAAAGGGGGTAATGATTATCCGTTACCACATTTACGAAAAACAATGATGGAAAGAATAGATCGCCTGCCTACTCAATTGAAGTGTAATGGCTCATTAGTTGAAGATGTTTTGGAGCACTTAAGAAACTTTTCTTCTTGATATTTATGGTGGACACTACTTTTGTTGCTTTTTTCCCCCTATATTTCTATGGCATTTTTTGTTTCTTTTACAGGTGATTAATGGTAATTTGGTTTACTAATTAATTGGAGTATTTTAGGTGTCGATTGATTTCTGCAAACCAAGAGAGTCCTCATTTCTAAATTATGCAGTACTATTTCCATGATTGTTTAAAAGCATGAGAACATAGTCAACAACAAAACACGCGATCAGTCGAACAAGCAAACACAACATGTCATCTTCTCTTTAAGAGCAAACACAGCAAGAGAACAGCTGGCTTGAAATAAAAAGTAATCAAATATATATTAAAAAACTCAGGAAGATAGATCTTCAACATAGTGCTCATCACTTCTTTCCTTATCTTCTCTTTAAGAATACTGTCATTGTCTTTAAAATCATTAAGAGGGAGTTTGTTTAGATCGATCTCTTTGATTACGTGCTGCTTGAGCATCTTAGTTTCATTCATTGGAAATTTGTTTAAATGAATATCCATGATGCACTTTCTTAGAAACTTTTTCCTTCGGACTGCAGTTGGTTATCATCCTTAGGAATTTTATTTAAATTAATATATATGATGCGCATCCTTAGAAACTTTTTTTTTTCCTTTAGACTGCACTTCGTTATCAATAGGAAGAATTTTATTTAAACTAGTATCTGTGGCTTGTTCAGTAGTATCAAATGAATCTGGAATAACCATGTCCACATTCATGACTGGTTCATTGCTATCAAATTAATCTGGAACCATTTGTGCCTCCATTCTTTCGATGCTCATAGGGAAATGAAAAGATCCAGATGAGAAACACTAAAGGATGAATCTTAAATGCTTGGGTATAAATGAGTAGAAAAAAAAGACTCCATGCAACTGTTGGTGCACAATAATAGTGGGGTTCATATGGTG